TACTAGTACTTATACTTGATTCTGATGGATGTTCTTCTTTGAATTTGAGAGCTTTCTTACGCCATCGAACACTTTTATTGTAATCTTTTGTTTGGGCCGCGAGATTAGCAAGATCTTCATATAGATTACCACGGAAACGATCATCTGGTGAAAGTTGTTCCAATAAACGGATAAAGTATTTTTCTGCCAAATCTAATTGTCCCATGTTCCATAATAGCTTTCCTAAGACATGCAAGTTTGTATCTCCCGTGCCCAATTGTTGTTGCATGTACCAAAGAACATCGTTTATATCGTGCTCATTTTCGCTACATAGAGCCATCTGAATTTCCCATACTTGATCGTCTGTGCTACGCCCGACACTATTTAAGCGAAAAATTGAACCAATCATAAAAAGTATTTCTGACTCGCCTGAAAATTCACTGAGTGAACTAATATCGGAAAATGGCTTCATAGTGGCTTCGTTAGGATTGGCAACAATTTCGAACAGTACCTTTTCTAACTTGTCCACAATATCAGGTCTATCGAGAAAAGAACGTGCTTGATTCTTATCGATACTAGTAGAAAAGAATGAATTGATAGAAATGAATTTTCCACAAGAATTCTTCAAAGTTTTCAATTCTTCATCAGATATCATTTGTCCTCGGTAGACACGTAAAGGCTCTTTAGCCTGATGAATTTTCAATTGCTGTTGAATGTCAGATATATATGAACGGAATAAAAATATCATATGAATATTTTCTGAACGTAGAACAGCATTAAGAGTCTTGTAGAAAAATGAATCTCGCGTATACCACCGTATGGCATTCTCAGGCAAATAATTTTTTCTAAAATCACGAATATTGCTCAATTCAAAACGATTATCTTCATATGCTTTTTCAAAAAGTTCAATAAGTTCTTTTTTATCTGCTTCATTGGGCTTGAGTCGTAGAAGACAATCGATAAGAACTTGAGAAAAAACAAATTTACCATTGACATCATCTGTTGATTTACCAGCAGTAAAAAAATTAATTGAAAACGGTTGTTCGATGATTTTTTGAATTTTATGATCAGCTTCAATTCGAGCAACAAGTATATTAAGTTCAGTGACAACTGCTTTGATCTGTAGAAAAATCAAAACGAAATATTAAAGAGAAACTCGAAATTATTTGAAATACTATTACTTTTACATAATTTTTAGACCATTCTTTGTGTGCTGTCTCATCCATACAGTATACATAAATTGATATAACCTTTCGAGATGCATGAATGGAAGGAACAAGTTCTCGTCCTAGTCGACCACTAACAATCAATATTAGTCGATCTTCTGGAGATCGTTCATTTATATATTGTTCACATTGTTGTATTTCTTTAAATCTCTTTAGTCGATTAATAATAGAACGTAGACGTTGTTCAGTATCTCGATCATCACTAGCTTGTGTATTATCATCAAGCCAGATAATACAGAAAATTTCAAGCTGTTGATCATCAATATTCGTACCATATTCATCATAGGATAGAGAAGTAGATGTTGCCATTTTAAATAAAAGAGACCACCTAAAATACATAGAAAATATTTAAAGTGCGCAAGTTGTATGAAAGAAGTATAGAACTTTTGAAACAAAGTCAAAGCTATTGATTACACCCGAATCAACACGTTATTATTTTCTTTCATCTTGTATATGTAATTAGTCATATGGAATATGCACAGGTTATATACATTGCAATTTTATGCTTTTCAACTCTTTGAGAACTAAGGAGGTATATGTACAACCTAACATTTTTTGTTGAAATCCTAGCTTTTTACTTGATTAAAGTCCGTTTTTCGAATGCTAGTATACTTATATACTCCATTTATGAAATGAAATAATTTTAAAAGGTGGTAAATTAGCTACTATGACTGCATAACAGTTATATAAAATTCATAATAGTTTATTGCTTTTCCTTTCGGATCTGCCTAGCAACTAAATTGCTTACCACGATAAAGAAAAGAATAACTCAACAATATATATTGCTATTAATTGGAAGTCTTTTTTTTTACATCGTACTCTGCTAGCTTATTATCTTACAATTACTTGTTACTTTTGCAACATATGATAATCCATCTATGAATCGGTTTTTATTCCTTTTTCATTTTTTCCAAGTTCTTTTCAAAGCACCATTCGTTTGAAAGTATTGTACAGACTAATAATAAAATGATGAAGGAATAAATGTAGGATGATAGATAGCAAACAAACAAAGAAAAAAGATATCTATGGAGAAAAAATTATTTTAAGTTAAGTTCCACTAGTCGATATTGTTCGACAATGGACACGGAATAGCAATGAAATATTCGATTGTCTTTCTGTTCTATGCCGATGTTCTAAAAATTGAAGTGTCATTTTATTTCACCTCAGTGCAGATAAAATCGTTGTTGCCATGATTATTAGACTATTGTTCTCTTAGATGATGACTCCGCGATTCGTAAGCTTCACTGGAAATAGTCTTTCATTATAAAATGAATGTCGTAGAAAATTCGAGACTTCCTCCTTTATTTTAAATAAGTATGAGTCTATATCCTATCTAATTCAAATAAATAAAACTTAACAAATTCTTTTTTCAAGCACGAAAGAACCATGCATGTCAAACCTGAAAGTTGAATTCAATTATTCAATTATTGGAGTTTCATGGCGTGTGTAATTTCGATTCGTTCTCTCACACATCGCAGTACCTAACTGAGGGTGCGGGGGAGGGAGTTTCAATAGTTGAATAGTTGAATAATTGAACTCAAGTTTCAATAATTGAATTCAACTCTCAGGTTTGACACTACTGGAAGTAGATAGATCCTGATTTTTTGTCCTTCATTTTTGTCATAAAGATTTAATGAAATGGCGCTTGTTGTAATGGATAACTAAATCAAATCAATATCTCTGTCATATTCACTTTTTATTCGAACTTAATTAATTGGAAATGTTAAATTGTCGACAAAGTTGTACGCTTTATTTTATTATATTTCGAGAACAGTTCAACAATGTGCATATGTTCTGGTACAAACTTAGGTTTCTCTTTACAAAATTCATAATTTATTTTGTGTGTCAAAAATAAATTCTTACAAACTTTATCTTTATTTCCAACTATTTGACTTTGTCCAAACCTAATAACACTTACTTTTTCAAACAGCAGTGTTGTTTGACCTTTATTCTTTATTATCTTTGGTAGTATAGAATGATTCTAGATGAAACTTAATTTTATATAGTTAAGACCAATGCGAAAACAGAATCTTGATTATATTAAAAAGTAAAGATAAGAAATTCGTAGAGTTATAAAGAAGACAAATAAGATCTTTTCTCAGATTCAAGAAGATCAAATATTAAACTTGCCTATGATGATATTATCTTCTATTTTCTTAGAGTATCTTGAGAATCTTGCAATTATTGAGTCGCAAATGTGTGGATACAGATAAGAATTTTTCATATAAATGTTTGCACACAGCATCCTCAATTTTAAACCACACTTTATATTTTTTATTAACGAAAAGAAAAATATATATCAATTAATTTTCTCTTATCAAACAGGGTCCTTTCTTTATTTGCCAAAGAGAGTTCTTCATTTTTCTTTATCTTCTAGATAAATTTTTGTCTTCGTTTATAAATATAAAGAATATATCTGTTTTTATTTTATGAAATTACATATCGTACTTATACTCATTTACGAAATGAGCATAAATCGGTATCGCTATTCTAAGATGCGTCAACATTCAAAAAGATGGTCGTTTTCTTTGTGAACATATAATCAGTCTCGAGCAAATATAGCTCAGAGCTACTTGTGTT